CATGCACAAGAAGAGCAGCATCGGTGTCAGCTGGTAGGGGTGCATGATCGGAGTCGGGGTGTAGGGAAGCCTCGACGATCTCGAACGGCACCGTCAGCGGCTCCGCGGACTCGTCGCGGTTGGTGATGTGCAGGTACAGGAAGGCCTCGAGGTTGGGCGGTTTCAGCAAAGTCGCCGCAAGATTGACAATGTCGTTCGCCGTCTGACACTGGGCGATGTGATCGAGTGCCTTTCGTATTTGTCGGGATTGTCGCTTGTTCCAAGCTCCCCACGTCACATCCTCGGGTTTCTCGACTTGAAAATCTTCGAGAACCTGCTCGCGGCTGAATTCCTCGAGCGATTCCTTCAGACTGTCAACAACTGACAGAGAAGCCGTAGTGCTCGAGGTACTGGCCGCCAGCAGCGGTCGTAGTAGTGCTCGGGGTACTGGCCGCCCGGGCGGCTATGACCGAGGAGTGATCCGAGGGGACTGAAACAAAATTTCGCTCAAGCTGTAACAGCTTTCGCCAAAATGGCCACGGAGTATACAATCATTCGACATGAATCGGTGAGTCAATCCCCTGACCGATTCGGTGTTTAGGTGAGATATGAAGTTGTCACTTCGCACAAACAAGTGTGTGCTACACATAATTGGTTTTCTACCCCAGCAGTTTCCCTACCCCCAACTGTCTAAACTTGGTTTCTAGACCATTCGGCCAATGCCCTTGCAGGAGCTCGCGCCTGTCGCATTACCAGTTCCTGGCCAGGCAGATCTCTGAAGGCAAGAACTTGAGCCCTCTTTTCAGTTGTCCTTGCTTTTCAGTACAGAAGTGCTGCATTGATTGGCTTCACTGCATGGATTTAGGATGTGCAGCTGACTACATGGGTGGGCTTTTTCATATGGTCGTGCAGACAAAGCTCCCCGAGCGAAGTGTCCACGATCGCTGCAAGAACCTTTTTGGCGATATTCAAAATTATTATCGCCGAAACCTGTCCCAGTCCCGCATGAGCACGTTGACTCCGCTCATGCTGAAAGGCAAAAACAAGAAGTGGCCCAAGTTGCGGGCTAAAGCCGGCGAGGCTCGCGACCTCATCGGATTCGCCAAGGAATGCGCTGAAAGGCACATGGGCAATTCAGATTTCGAGCGAACGGTGAGGCAGACTGCGAAGCATCTGCACAGTTGCTATGAGTTCTTGTCCGAAAGGCATTGGGATGCCGAGAAGTTTCACAAGACTGTCAATAAGTTTGCAGCTTTGTTTGTAGAGTTGAGTAAATTCCCAGGGCAAACATATTTTAGGACAAAGCCCAAGATGCACCTGCTTCTCGAGCTGGGCCGCCAAAAGCGGCGGCCCAGCGAGACGTGGACGTATCGAGACGAGGGCTTCGGCCATGTGTTGTCCCTCCACGCAAAACGTCGTGGAGGAAAGTACTCGATGAAAGGCACTTCCAAGCAAATGCTTAGCAAGTTTTGTGTCAACAACAGGAGGTTGCCAACACTGGCCTGAGCTGCAGACTTGCACGGATGCGGAAAAACAACCGGCCACAAAGCACACACACAGACACGTACTGACAAACACACGCACACACACAGACACACGCATACACCACACAAGCATACAATAACATGACGAATAAAAAATAACATACCTTATTTAAGGTGTCAAAAAAAAACACCTTATTTAAGGAAAAACACCTTATTTAAGAAAACACACCTTATTTAAGGACCAAAACCCCTTATTTAAGCAACTTTTTCTAGAAAAACACCTTAAATAAGGAAAAAGACCTTAATTAAGCAATTATTTCCCGCACAATTCCTTAAATAAGGTGCGTTTTCTTAAATAGTGTCTTTTGGAAGCTCTGGGTGGACGGAGCGATAGCCGTCTCGACGGAAAGTGGCGGCAACTTTCCGCACCGCCTCCGCCGAGATGGGCCAGGGAGCGACGGCCCAAGTCTCGCACGCTTCCTGCCACGTGCGGACTCTCGACTGGAAGGGTGCCTGGGACGACTTCGCCAGGATGTTCTCGTCGATTTCCGCCAGCGCCGCCTCCCTGTTCTCCGGGAGGGCTGCTTCAAAAGGCGGTGCGTTTGCACGCTCGACGGGTGTTCCTTCTGAGCGGAATGTCCTTCCGCTTCTCCGTCGGCCGGTCGGAGACCGTCGCCGGGGGCGGGATTGGTCCGCGAACCGTCGCCGCGACCACTACTGGACCGTCGGTCGGTACTACGGCCGTCGTGGAGGGCCCTATCGCGGGCCCCGCCGGCACGATCTGGGTCCCCTCCCGACGGGACCTCCAACCGGCGAGCCTCGAGGACTGTGGCCGGGACGCCAGCTGTGACTAACGCCGAGGCCCGGGCGAGGGCGGAGTCGACGTCCACGGCGCCCACTGTCGGCAACAGGGGCAAATGGTCGGATGCCCCCAGCTCGACGAATGCCCTCACCAGCCGGCCGAAGTCCGCTGTCTGTCCGCGGCGGGGCCGCATGGGGCCAAAGGGGGCCTAGGCGTGCGCCGGCCTGGGCGCCTCGAGCCAACCGAACCTCCTAAAGAAAAAGGTAAAAGAAAAACAGGTGCACGACGAACGACGGGCAAGCATGAGAAACTGCACTGCGACGGCCGCCTTCCTTTCTCGCGCCGGTGGCGCCTGATCGGCTCTGAGTCGGGCCCTGGGCGATTACAACGCCGGGCAGAAAGGAATTAAATTAAGGCGTCGGGAGAGGCCCGCGAAGGCTTCACCGACGCACCCCCTGAGGCTTGAATTCCCACGTCGCCAGCGACAAGGCCGTCGGTGAGGTCGACCTTGTAGAAGACGGCGACGGTGAGATAGCGACGGGGGCCGGCCGACCGGATCACCGGTGCCGGGACTGCTCGTGGCAGTCCTCGCACTCATGGTGGTCGTGGCGATCCAAGTCGACGGTGCCGCCGGCCCGAATCAACACCGGACGGAGGCATCTGCCGGGAATGCCTCGGCAGCGACCGTTGGTGCACGGGTGCCCGCACCACCCGACACACCAGATCTCGCCGGGGATCTTCTCCGGAATGCGGCCTCCCCGGACGCCGGGCGGCAGCGCCCGCAGCACATAGTAAGCCGCTGCGGCGGCCGCCGGTACCATGGCTGTGGAGCCGTCGGCGGCGGCCCTCTCAATGTCCTCCAAGTGCTCCAGGTTGGCGACGGTGAGGGGCCGGAGCGTCTCCGGCAGCGTCACGTCGGACCTCACGCCGGACTTGCCCATCAGCTCGACGTGGTCGCGCCACTCCTGCGAGCAAAGCATCCGGCGGATGTGGGCCAGACGCCGGTACTCGCGCCTGTGGCGCTCGAGCTCGGCGGGGGAGGCGTTCTGCCCCGGCCGCCGTGGAAGGATGGGGAAGCCGGCGCCAGTGATCGGATCCGCGTCGGGATACATCTCTTGCGGCGTTGGTGTAGGTGCCCTGCGAAATGAACCCGACGGTGCTGGCGGCGACGGCGACGGTGCCGAAGCGGCCGGCATGGCTTTCACCTGCGGCCCGACGGTGCGCTGGTGTCGCGACTCCTCCTCGAACTGCCGCCGGAGCTCCTCGGCAATGCGGTCCTGGTAGTCGACGATCGGCACCGACGGGGACGGGGCAGCCGGCGGCGGCGGCCCAGGGATCACCGTCGACGGCGTGATCCGATCCGGAAGCACCGTCTGGTACCGCCGGTAGTAGGCGTCGGCCGTCGGGATGTTGTGCTTGTATGCCAACTCCGCGTCGGTCCGACAGAGATACCCCACCTGGTCCCAGACTTCCGGCGGGCTGCCTTTCGGCACCGACGGCGCCGGACGGGTGGGCTTCTGCGGGTAGCCACCACCCGATGGCTTTCCTGCCGCCGGCATGTCGGCCGAGGACGACGGTGCTCCGGAGACCCCCGCGTGCGCCGAAGGAGGCGCGTGATGCCTGTCGACGGGGGGTTCCGGGCACGGGTCATCCGACGGCGCCGGCACTGCTGCTGCCACTCCACTTGAACTCGCCGGTGTCACCCGCGACGAGTCGCCATACACGACGGGCCCCGGGGCGGCAGCTGGACTGTTGATCGCCGCCACCAGGGCCCGCCGTTCCAATCCGCTCCACTCGGCGAAGAGCTGACTAAGGTCATCGCCGGAAGCGACGGCACGTCGCACCATATCCAAGGCGGCGACGACGTCGGCGGATTGGAAGGCCATGGCGTCGAGGGGATCTACCGGAAAGCTGAAAATCGTCGGGGGACGTGGAGCAGACAGCGGCTGCAGCATCCACGTCGATTCGACGGTTGTCCCTACGCACATAAATGTGCTACACCACAAGCCTGGCGGAGCGGCGCCAGTCACTCAACACACTGGCCTGCTAGAATGTACTATAATGTACGATCTACTGTACCATAATACACTATTACTATACTGTATACTTATACTTCGGGTGCAGCTTGCCTGTCAGTTTTTGCAGCTCCGTCGTGACGGAATGTCCGACAGCCTCCATGCCTCGCACACACAAGATCCCGCTATCCAGTTAAACCCAACTCGACTCACACGCCACGACAACAGAGCAGCAGCAACATCAAATTGGGTTTAAAGTTCGCCCGAGCAAGCCTGCTAACAGTGATGTTCTTGCTGACACACAATAAGCGAACAACTTTCCCCCTTTTTCTCAGGTCTGCGAGTCTCTTCGCAGCTCTCCCCACCTTGGCGGGGGTTCGGACAGCGCCTGTCGTCGATGCTGCCTGCATCGATCCTGAAGGGCTTGCGCGCACTTGCAAAGGATGCCAAAGAGGAACTGGCAGCATCCCGCCTGACTGCTGAACATCCCTCGGAGGCGTAGCGGGCCTTGACACACAGCGGGACGTATCTGCAGCCTCTGCCTCTGACCTGGCATCGGCAAGCTGCCTCGATCCGAGCACAGGCTGCTCTGCATTCCTGAACAGTGAGCCGGAGATTCCTCAGAGGGCAGAGGGAGTCACTGGTGGGAGTCACTGGGAGTCGTCACTGCAATTCTGATGCGGGGGGCTGGGAATCGAGGAGCCGAGGCCTTCTGTGGCGTCAGCACAGGCCTCTCAAGCATCGGAACTGGGGAACCGTCAGAGGGACTTCGGCCATGCCTTGGGGCTCTGGCTTTGGCGACTTGTCGACTTGAAGTGTCACGATGTTGCGACACGACCTAACCGAGCTGCATGCTCCAAGGAATTCTGACGCCTCGGGCGACGTCTCAGAACGCTGAACAGCAGGCCTTGTCTCGAGACTTCCACCGCAGAGACTTCCAAGTTCATCTGCGTGCGCGGTTTCGGAAGCCTTAACCGAGAGTTGCCCAGCGACTGACTTTGCGTGCGCACGACACATTCGGAAGGGCCCCGGCGAAGCGTCCGTCGCTTTCTGGGGACATCTCCGTTTCTGTCTCGGGAAGCCTTGGGAGAAAATCCGGCGATCAGAACCTTATTAACTGGAATGGAAAGTAGCGATGAGTATGATTGGGACTCCAAAAGCACGAGTATGGCGACACATGTCTACTTATACTCAAATGTTCAAGTCTTATGAATGTAATTATAGGGGGCCTGAATAGTGGGAACAAAGCCTTGGGGCCCATTATGCCATAATTACAATCAGGAACCCTACAAAATAGTATAGGCAATCACCCACTAAGGCCCCTTTTCTTGGGGGGGGTTTTGGGGCCCGTTATACCAGACTTACACAAAATAGTGAAGCTCCTCCCTAAACCCTAAACCCTAAACCCTAAACCCTAACTCTGTGAATCCTCTGACCAAGGAGCGGCGATGGGGCTTCGACATCGGCCTCCGAGCACAGAAGGAAAGCGCGCGGTTTAGGGCTTAATTTAGGTTTAGCTTTCACGGTTTTGGGGTTTAGGGTTTTTTTTTTCTAACGCCCTCTTTTCCTTTAGCAGTTAGCTTCGGGAAAACCGGGTTGGTGGGAGGGTTTAACGTTTAGCTTAGCGTTGAAGAAGAGGAAAACTCTGAAGACTGTCGACTCAGGCACAGGCCCACTCGTCTCTGCTGGATCTGAGGGTTGCTGTCCTGAGAAACAAGAAGAGAGCTCCGGCACCCTGTCGGGCATCCCCGAAGTGCCCCCCAACCAGTGCATCAAGATTCAGCTGCAGACTTGTGCCACCGCCCGCCTCACAAAACACCAAGCACGCTTTCCAACAACACGACAGTTGACAAGTGGGCTTCAGGGGAATAGGATTGACGGACATGTTGTCGAATGCAGGCTGACGACAAATCATCCGACGGGTTTGTGCCTGGAAATCCGAGTTCAAGCGTTCCCTCGCTGCACAGCATGGCGCCGTGAGGGATTGGCCCTGCCCCATTAAAAACAAACCGGAGTCCTCTCCGTCCTATCCTTGAGCTCGGGACCGAGCCCTCCTTGAGCCGCACGCTGCTTTCCCCAAGGCTCTCATCCGAAGGCCCGGGCCCAGGCTCCAGGAGTCACGAGACACGGCCTCGTGGCACAGAAGTCGAAGTCCCCTCATGGCTCCTCACGCGGAACATAGTAGCCGCGCCCTCTCTGCTCCTGAAGGAAGAAAGGCACGCCCATCAGAGCGCTCTTCGCCGGAGGGCTTGAGCCAGGAAACTGGAGCAGAGGAGATGCAACCCTCCTGGAGCTGCCCAAAAAACAGGGGCCTTAATAATTAGAAGAGGGTGGGGCCCTTTATGCTATAGTCTATAGTCATTTAATAAGGAAGCCCCAAAATAGAATAGGTAAGTATTGAGGCCCGAAGCAGAGACTCGGCTGCGGCTTCCGACGAGAACGGAAGAGGTTGCACGGAAGCTGGACGAGCTGAAGCAGCAAGGCAGCAACACGAGGCAGCTCTTGAATCTTGAGAGCAGTCGCTTGAGGTTTGCTATCCCTGCGCAGGCTGAACTGACCGAATTCGATGCGAACAACGGTGTGGCAGAAGGCCCATGCAAGCAAAGAAACAGATGCCTCGGGTCAAGAAAAAAGAGGCAGTTGCAGCTCTTGAGCGCCAGGGCCTAGCACCCCCATGATATCGTCATGGTCATCTTCATAATTGGCCGCAAGAGACACCACCATCGTCGTCATCATTGTTTTCTGCTGCTTCATCATCTGGTGTCAGCTTCGTCGTCCTCACTCCGTCGCCGCGGCGATCTTCATCCGCTTCCTCATTGTCCCCATCCTCAAAACCCTCATCGACAGCATAAACCGAACGCAGCCGAAGGCTTCTCAGTGGCAGACGGCAAGGCTCAGATGAAGCACTCAATTTTTTGGTCCCCCACGCGGCTCTGAATTCTCCGCAATAGCAGCGGCTTCGTTTCGAGGCTTACCGTAGACACTGGCGCTTTGAAGGTCCAGTGACGGTGCCGCTCGCATGCTCTATGAGAGGAAGAATCAGGCGGCGCTTGCCGGTATGTCCAGCCTTGCGAGATGCGCTCATCTCTGGCTCCTCGACTGGCTTGACATCAAGCTTTACATCCTGCGCCATCGGCCGGTTGAGCAGCACGGAAGGCACAAGAGGGCCAGCCTGCTCGAAGCCACACTGCAGCCGCCACGTACCAAATGTTGAATTTCTGCCTAAACTTTGCAGAACCTGCTTCGCAATCGCAGGCCCATGCTGCTTGCTCAGAGCTGGCTGGTTCACCCAGAATGTCCGCCAAAGACAGGAAACTGGATACGTCAGTAGCAAGCCGAACTCCTGGCTCGGATCTCCGAGGAACTCAACACGAGCGAACGACTGGGTGCTGCCCGGGCTGCTCCGCAGAGTATGCCCATGGATCAGGCTCCAGTAGTCCCTGAAGGCGCTGTCCGTCTGGAGCTCTTCTGGAAGTTGCTCTTTGGGCATCTGCCCTTCTGGCCAGATGTGGGTAACCTGTGCTGCTGTCAGCCGCGGCAAGACGTGGATCCGGGGCCTTTTGCTGGCCTCAAAGCCCTGGAGGCAATAGCTCCCGGCCAGTTCGGGCGCCCGGGCTGAGCGGGCGAGGAAAGGAGCCAATGGCTGCACCAGCCGCACATCAGCGGAGAAGCGCAGCTCTGCCGTGATCTGAGAGGAGGATGCTGACGCGCTATCGCATTCCACATCCACGCAGGGAACTCGAAGGGAGGGTCGCTGCAGGATGTCCGTGCTGGACATCGACTGCGACTGGAACAGTCGACATGGAAATTCCGCGGATTGCCAGGAATCCCTGCGCAAGCTATCCCGCACAGCGAAGGCTACCAGCCGGCGAAGGATGGCATCCGTGGCCTTTGCTGCCGGCAGGTTGGCAGCAGCTCGATCGGGTAAGAAAACGATGGAAAAGCGAAGCTCCATCTCGAGAAGCACTTCGTGTGCAATGAGCATCTCCGAGCAACTGCTAGGTGCCATGATGGCCACCGCGCTTCCCGACGCAGGTGCCGCCAGCAGTTGCGCACCTCTCTCTGAAGCCTTTTGGACAAGAAGGCGGCTGAGCTGCACAGCTGGGTTGCGCAGCACGTAGACTCGGTCTGGCGGCCGCTGCAGCAAGAGAGAGCTGCCTGGCTGCAGCTGGGCGCAGCGATGAAGAGGCAGGCCATCCCCCAGGAGGGCCAACCAATGCTCATCGACACACCTGAGAGTCTCAGCAAAACAAGCCACCCTGCATGACTTTTGCAGTAAACCCCAAGTTGGCCCCAAATAGTTGTTGGGTCCTCCGAAAGGCCTCGCCTGCGCAGGCTTGCAGCGCCTTGTGCTGAAAGAACTCGCAGACCACGGAAATCTCGATCCGAGTCATCGCCAAGCACGAGCTTTACGACAACTCCATGACCTTGTGGCTTCAGTCTGGGTTGAATTATGGGGATTCTATGTTACGACTCCTGACTCCTGCTGTTTCTACCTTACGGTCCCCTGTTTTCTGGAGGCCCACCTGGCTGTGCCCACTGCGAATGAGATCTCTTCCAGATTCCAGAGACATCGATGCAATTCGTGTGCGAAGCCCTGACGGCGGACACCTCCACCGCCAGGCAAGACTCGACGACGAAAGGGAAGAAAGGGCAAACGCTGAAGCTGCTCCCGGCAGGAGCGTCGATTGACAAGTGCGCCTTGTGCTCCCCTTGGCTCGTCTCACTTGTTGCCTCTATCTCCGGCTTGAGTTGGAGTCCAAATCTCTTGCATGGGAACTTCTCGCCGCCCGCACGGGCTGCGGGGAGCGAAGCATTCCCATGCTTTGATCGCTCGGCTGCCTCGCCATGCAACGGAAGCAGCACTGATTTCGCGGATGCCGGCCTCAATGGCATTGCACGGGCTTGTAGAAAACCACCACGGAGAGCAACAGCCAGCGGCCGAGGTCACCCGCTACGGGCCAAGTTGGGCAATGCAGCTAAGAACCCAGAGATGCTGACGATGATCGCATGTGCACAATCACTGTGGAGCTGTGACTGCGTAGAACCTTGTTGATTCCGTGCAGCTTCCATGCCCTGCTTAGCTTTCGCTAGTAGTGGCCAGGCACGATGAATCGCAAGTGCAAAGCATTTCCCACTGCAGAACCTGAAAAAGCTGGCGCAGGAAAAGTTGATTTTCTGGTCGGCGGCCGGTGCGCCGGTGCATTATCAGGGGGTGTTCCTGTGGACTTTGCAGGCAGCACCCCGTGCATTAGATAGGCAAAGGCAGCTTCCCTCTTCGGGAGGTGCACCCCGCGATGCTGACGCCACCATTGACGAGACCAAGAAGACGGGCTACTGACATCTGGATTGAGACAAGTCACAAGGGGTCCCGTCCCGTCCCGGCCCCGTCACAAAGCAAGGCAATTCAGCAGAGCTTGCATGCGACATGTCCGAGGCATCTTGGTGGCCTGCCATTGCTGGCTCGGCCGAGGTAGCCTCGCTAGGGTGAGACCTCACTTCTTTTCTTTCTTCTCCTTCTTCTCCTTCTTGTCCTTCTTCTCTTTCTTCTCCTTGTCCTTCTCCTTGTCCTTTCCCGAAGTCTCTTCCTTCGGTGGCTCCCCTTGCGGCTCCGCCGGAGCGTTGGTCTCCTTGGCCGGCTCCTCCGCCTGGGCGCCGGCCCCCTGGGCCTTTTCCTGGGCCTCGCCCAGGGCTTCGCCTCCCGAGAGCTGCAGGCGCCAGGCCCTTGGACTCATCAACTTCTCCACGGAGGAGGCCTTCTTCCAGGCTTCCAAGCGCATCAAGACCAGGGTGCCCGCAAGGCTGGTGGGGTGCCCCCCTTCACTGGGCTGTAGGTCCTGGTTTTCAATGTAAGCCTTCAGGTCCTCGTGGCTGATCTGCCCCTCCTTTGCCAAGGAGGACTTCTCGAGGATGCTTGAGACGAAGTCCACCTCCTCGTAGGTGATGTCTCCGAAGCAAACATGCGTGCCGACTTGGAGTTCGTCCTCCTTCAGGAGTCGGAAGACCTCAGGCAACTCGCCAACCTCGATCATGCCACTCCTCTTCTTCTTGTCCACCGTCTTCAGCACTTTGAGAACTGGGTCCGTGGTCTTGTCCTGATCAAAATCAGAAGGTGCTCTAGGACATTCTAGGACTCTACCACCCTCGCATCCCTGAAGCGCACATTGAACAAAACAAAACAAAAGGGCCTCGTGCTCCAGGACCACCTTTACCATCAGCGCCGCGAGCTCCGGAGGGTCGTGGCTTCCCTGGTTCACCTCCACGGACAGCTCCTCCGCGTGCTCCGTGACGGACCGATCCAACAGGCGCCTCAGGACCTCAAGGGGTAGGTGCAGCTGTGCTCAAGTCAAGAACTTGTTATAGAAAATTGGGCATTATCTTGTTTGTAGAATATGGTGCACTATCATGCACCATCTGTGATACTTTAGTCGACTATAGCATACCATGTTATACAACATATCCTATAAAGTACTACCGTATGATGGCTCGACGATCTCGACTTAGTCTGGGCAGAAGGAGCCTGAAAGCCTCAAGATTCGATTTGGATCGAAACAATGCCGCCCCTCTCGGTTTATAACCCCGCAACTCATATGGGAGTTTCCGAAAATTAGGGAT